TGTTATTTGATGCCTGATCCCTGATCCCTTTGGCACTTGGTGATCTCACAGGCTGGTGTGCTTCTTCCATGTGGGTTTTGTTGCTTCTGAGCTAGATGGCTGCTTGTTTACCTTCAAGCCTTTAAGACCCCAGATGCTATATATTTTGATGGCTGGGTGCCATCAGCTTTCTTCACCACATTTGCTTATGCGCCCACGTTGTCTTCAGCGATTGTGTCAGGAAGGTGAGCATCATTGAATGCCAGTTTAATAGAGCAAAGTATTCTTGCATTGAGGGAGTACTTGCGTAGAGGCCCAATGTCCATCTGCTACCTTAATACTAAATCTATACATATATACACATAGATCTATTTCCACATCCTCATATATAAATATAATTACATATGTATATGCCTTTATTTAGACCTCTATAAATGCCCTTTGCCTACCAGCTCTTTCCTCTATTTCCTTTTATTTTCCTCTTGTCCCACTATCATGTTCAGCCTTCATTAGGGTTTCAGTAATTCCTCTGGGTTACATTACCCTTGATCATGCCCTACCAGGCCTCCTACACCCTCCTCACCACTGATTTTGATCACTTGTTGGTCCCTTATCCCTGGTTTTGTTAACACCACTTCCTTCCCCACCCACCCACCCACCCATGTCCCCCACCGAACTGTCGGTCCCGTTGTTTTCTCCACCAGATTTTTCATTCAACCTATCGTATTCAGACAGATCTGCGGAAATAATAACATGCACAAAAATAAGACAGATCAAAACCAAGCAACAATATACAACAAAACAACAACAAGCCAATGACAATAAACAAAACACAACACAACAACAAGAAAGAAAAGCTTGTAGTTCATTCAAGGACTATTTGTTGGCTTTTAGGAGTGTTTTCCAGTCAAATTGGTTGGGTCACCAAGCTCTGGCCCCAAAGTCTATTTTTGGTATTCCCTGGGGACTTCCTTGCTCTGCTCCCCTTGCTATTCTGTTCCACACCCTTAGTGTTTTGTTTGGGTGTGGTGGGATCAGATTGGGCGGGATTCCCACAGTGTGTTCCTAGTGTTGTCCTCTGTAGGGCTATGGGTCAGTGAGGGATGTCGTGTCTCATAGTGGTCTTCTCTGTGGATTGGCTGCTCTGAGTGGGAATATCGTCCTCAAGGCTTGGTGGGCCAGGATGTGCTCCACTCACTCTTCCTTCCCTTTCATTTGCTCCCATGTGCTCTGATCAGACAGGTCCCTGTCCCAAAGCTGCAGCCTCAGTGCTGTCCTCTGAAATAAATTCTTCTGGAGGGAGGGGCAGGTGTCCACGTAGTTGGGATTGAGGCCGGCCCCTCAGACGTCTCCACTGGTTCCCTAGTCCATGCCGGCATGTTGCATTCACATCTTGGAGCACTGGGTTGAAGTCTGGTACCTCTTTCCCTGTGGAGATATAAAAAATACCCTCCCCTTGGGTGGGTTAGTGCCCTGTGCCTCCGCTACCCTTTTTTTTTTCCTTTCCCCCCCACCTTTTTAGTTGGCTACCATATGTATCCCTGGATTTGATCTCACTGCTGCCATACTACCTGGTCCTCACCCCAGGAATGTTTGTATACAGTAGCTTTTTCCCTATGCCCCTTTTGCATTTTTTTTTAAAGCTTACCTCAGCGGACTCATATTGTACTTGTCTTGGCTTACTTCGCTTTGCATGATTTCCTCCAGTTCTTCCCATGCAGCGATATGCTTCATACATTCATCACTGCTTTTTTAACAATGCGTAATACTCCATTGTATGCATGTACCACAGTTTTTTAATCTACTCGTCAGTTGATGGAAATTTGGATTGTTTCCAACTCCTTACAATTGTGAACTGTGCCGCAATGAACATTGGAGCACAGATGTCTGGCCGTGTTTGTTTCTTGCCTCTTCTGGGTAATATGCCCAGTAGGGGGATTGCTGGGTCGTATGGTAGCTCGATTTCTATCTGTTTTAGATATCGCCAGATCGATTTCCATAGTGGCTGTACATACTTACAGGTCCATCAGCAGTGGATGAGAGTTCCTGTCTCCCCACAGCTCCTCCAAAATTTCTTGCTCTCTGATTTTTTGAATTGGGCTGTCTTTGGGGTGTTAGGTGGTACCTCATTGTTGATTTAGTGGTCAGTTTCAGATTGGTTGAGAAGGTTGGGGCATGGCACGTGGGCAAGTCTGACCTTGGACACAGAGCAATCAGCCTGGGGCTAATGGTGAGTTTGATTCTCAGTGTCCTGCTGAAGTTAGCAGAGGCCAGATGACAACCCTGGGCTGTTTTTTTTACAAGCCCTTTTTACTGCACTCCACCTTAATATAAGTTCAGGATTGAATATAGACTCTTCAAACCTCCCAGGGTTAAGAATGCTTACATGGGTCACAGGTAAATAACTGGGTTCAGTGGGATGGAGTGCGAGCAGGAGTCAGACTGGGTGTCCAGCTATTGAAAGCTGTCATTACTTAGAACACGGTTGTAGAAACTTTCCATTTTTCAAAAGAAGCCAAAAATCTAGATTTGTAAAACTATATAAGCTCTCCCAATTATGAAACTTCAATCTTCAATCAGTTGTCTTTTTTTTTTTAATTAATCAATTTATTGGGGCTCATACAATTCATCACAATACATAGATCAATTGTGTAAAGCACATCTATACATTTGTTGCCCTCATCATTCCCA